CGATCTTCTACATTACAATACATTTATTCATTTAGCTGACGTTTTTATCCAAAGCGACTTCCAATTGCTGTCTACATGTCAGAGGTCGCACGCCTCTGGAGAAACTAGGGGTTAAGTTTTTAACTTAAGTATTATGTGGGTTAAGGATTTTATTCATCTGACATGGATTTTAAGCTAGATGACCGTAAAAACGTTATCAACGCTACTGACCACAACAAAGCTCCGGCGACTAGCGTTATGCTGGCCGAGATAACTCTGCCCCATGAGGACTGCATACTCCTTAAGAAAGCGAACAAAAAGATTGCTGACCTTATGGAAGACATCCGACGACTTTCAGAGGAACTCAAAGAGAAAGATTCCCTGCTGACTGGCTTTATGGATGTGGCTTCAGTACAAGCCAAACAGATTGTTTCTCTTAGTGCAACCGCTAACATCCAGGACACCGTGTTTTGGGACCCCTCTACCCTTCCAAGGCTTTCCTCCTGCTCGACTCCGAAGCATCATTCAACCTGGGCTGAAGTGGTGGTCCGTGCATGCAAGAGAGGCTCGGACGGGGCTGCCTCTCCTCCGCACATCGGCCTCTCCAACCACTATGAAGCCCTGTCTGACGACACTCCGGTCCATCCAGCGGATGCACCTGCGGCTTCGAGTCTCCCTGATATGTATCCCTTTCGGCGGACAGTGCTGGCTGACACTGTTGCATCCCCTCCACCGGCTACATCTCCCGCACTGGCGGCTGGGCCCGCCGGTCTGCCGCCGGGCCTGATCGGCCCAATCATGTTTTTATCAACTTAGAAATATAGCAAAAATTCGATCTATGTTAACTTTTAAGGACACCGAAACCATTTTACACGCCTTCATCAGCCTTTTCACTTGTTTAACCCAAAAATCTACTGATCGACTCCAGACTGTCCAGAACTCAGCTGCCAGGCTTTTAACCAGAACAAAGAAATATGACCACATTATCCCTATTTTAGCTTCATTACACTGGCTCCCAGTATGTTTTAGAATTGACTTTAAAATTCTATTGATCACTTTTAAAGCTCTTCATGGCCTCTTGCCTTGTTATATTTCTGACCTTTTAGTCCCATACACACCAGCACGTACCTTGAGATCCTCGGGCAGAGGTCTGTTGTCTGTTCCAGAGTCTCGACTGAAAACTAAAGGGGACAGAGCGTTTGCTGTCAGGGCCCAGAGGCTCTGGAACAGCCTGCCTGAGGAAATCAGGTCGGCTGAGTCAGTGAACTCTTTTAAGTCCCTTCTTAAAAACATACTTTTATAGGAGAGCCTTTCCCGATCTTATTTGACTTTATTTTATCCCTTTTATTTTATTCTATTTTACTTATTTTATATTTATCTTAAACATGTATTTTAGTCTTTTCAATGTTTTCTTGATTTTATCTTGTATTGTTTTTGTATTATTGTCTTTTGGGTATTATTGTCTTTACACTTGTTAAAGCACTTTGTAACTTGTTTTTGAAAAGTGCTCTACAAATAAAGATTATTATTATTAAGTATCTTGCTCAGGGACACAATAGTAGATATGTCACAGTGGGGAACTGAACCCAGGTCTCTCACACCAAAGGTATGTGTCCTATCCATTGCGCCATCACCACCACCACCACCACTTTTTTTGGAACCGTGACCATATTCGGACGAGAGGGTGGAGCTAGTTAGCTTGATTAGTGAGGTGCATCTGTTATTTGCCTTAACTGTGATATTATTTTGGATGCAAATTTTGGCTAGTGAAAAAATGGCTCAAAACAAAAGGGACTTACCAGAAAAAAATAACAGCCGACTCCTTAAAGTTTCTTTTAGTAGGCTACAACCAAATGCTGCACAAGACATTTTTAGGTCACCAAAATGTTACAATTAACTTTCATGAACTGAAAACACACTGTGAACACATACAGTGCTCAAAAACAATATCACGACTACTTAAATGTACACAGCGCAGTGAATACATTCGCCTTTATTATGATTGACAAGCCCCATGTTAGTAAGTTGTCAATCACAAGGTAGCCACGCCCTAAAGCATCGCTTGCTTTATCATCTATTTTACCCCAAATGGGACCATAATTTACAAAATGAACATCATGCTGTATTGAAGAAGACTTGAAACAAGCGACTGAAATCATAAACTCGTTAGAGACGTTTTAACTTAAGTAATAAATCAGGTGAGAAGTAATTTTGTCATTAAGAACAAAGCAATCAGATTTCCTTTTGCAACCAGCGGAGTCATGCCCTGCTGGCCATTGAAAGATGCATGTTTAAGGGACTTTTGCATTGGCTTCACTTTTAAGATATGGAGGTTGCCTTTTACCAGAAAACAATCAAAGATCAAAGAATTGCGATTATGAAATGAATTGTAAAAACAAAAAAGTTCTATATCATATTGATTCAAGCCCAGTTCTTTGAGACCTCAGACCTGTCCTCTGACAAATTAAATATTATATAAGAACTGCCTCTCTCCCACTGATGTGAACCATGGGGGTTTACCTCAGGGGTCCCACTGCTGGACACAGTAGACAGAAAGAAAAACAAAATGCCTGCTGACACACTTGTTAGGATTATTAGTGTACTTTGAAATATTTCCTGTTAGATATGAGTCCTCTGTGGGGGCTCATTGTGAAAAGGACACGAGTGAGGTCCAGATGATTCTTGGAGCTTGACTAATGAGATCAGCTTGATTTTGAGATTTTTCTATTTCTTTTTACAATTTCTGACCATCATATGTTATGTGCTGCCACCAGTGTGCAGAGTCGATGCAAAACCAAACGTGGTCAGCCAACTTATGTGTTGTGGTGATGAGTTTGAAATAGGTCCATTTCATCAACCCGCCAACGGCAGCTGACTCTGAATTTATTTGAATCGTTAATGTAATTTTACAGCAAATTCACAACAAATCTCATGTATGAAATGTTTAAAGGTTAATTATCAATATTTTTGATGTTTACACAATTTAATGATTGATAATATGTAGGCTAAAGTACAGAAAATGATCACCAAAACTCTGTGGAGCTTTTAGCTTCTTTTTAGCTCTTAGGATCACTCTTGCTGAAACCACGTTTCCATCAGCAACAAGAAGCAGTTTTCAGCATATCGATGTTTCCTAAAATGCCAGAGGTGGTTGGAAGAGACAGGAGCCACTGAAAACTCCAGGAGCTGACTGATGATTAAATTGGGGAGACTTTAACTAAGTAAAAAGCCTTGAGGCTCTCGGTGAAAAGTGCCTGCCAATTGTGTTTTTTGGAGGAAGAGTGGTTGTCTACATCCTCAGCAGGCCAACAGAGGGAGTTAGGGGTGACATGGATGGCAGAGCATCGGAATGTCAGTCATTTCAAAGAAGAGAAAAAAAGGGAAGAAAAAATGTGAAAAATATCAAATATAGTTTGTTCGGTTCCGTTCTCCAAAACAGGCCCATAATTAGATTTTTTTTTTTACACAATCTACGCAGAAATTCATTCATTCAATCATCCAATTAATTCATTTGGTCTGCTGGACATACCTGGCAACAGTGAGGATGGAAATTAACTCAGTATGTCTCTTAATTACTGAAGGTCTACTTTTAGATCAGTTTAATTTTCATTCTTTTCTATTAGGAACACATTCCTTTTCATAAAATACATGAATGAAAATGAATACATGAAACATAAAATATTCATGATTGAACTAAAATAGGTATGCATTTCAAATGTTTGCTCATTTTGAACAAATACAGTAATTCTTCTTTGAGACAGCTATCAGATGACAAGGCAAACTCAGTTAGCCTAAGTGGTGAGATTAAGCACTGGAATTATGACATATGTGATAAATATGAATATGACTAAAAGTGTTGTTTATTTGCCACCATATAAATATAGCCGCCCTCCTCCCAGATTATAGTTTTGAAATTGAAAAACTTTTAAAAAGTAAAATATTATAATATATAAAGAGAAATTAACTTTTCCCCTTACCTTATTTTAGCCTTTTTTTTTAGAGAAGAATGTAAAAAAAATTAATAATAAAAAACATTCATTTTCAAGGACAAATAGCAATCTGAGAGCCGTAAAAGTATGGCAGTCCAAAGTGAAAAGACTTGCTTTTGCACGCCCTGTTAGCAAACTGGTTGCAAAATAATGGAATGTATGGTGTGTGTAAATATATGTCCTGACCTATAGCATTGCCGTCTGCTATTATTCATGTCAGTCACATGTGTTTGTCCAGTAAGCATTATGGGCAATACTGAGGTACTCACATTGAAAAGATACTATATTAGTGTATACAACGGATTTCTTCATTCCACTTGATCCTGGGGTTTGAGCCAACTATAGACATACATCTAACCTTCCCTTTCTCACTAAGATCCTCGAGAAAGCAGTTGAAACCAATGAAACCAATCACTTAAGCATGCCTTAAGGATGTAAAAAACCTGGATGACCTGCAAATTTCTAATGTTAAACTAGACAAAAGTGAAGTTATGGTACTTGGCCCTGAGCACCTCCTAAACAGATTATTTAGAGTTACTCTGGATGGCCTTTCCCTGGCCTTCGGAGTTATCTTTGATCAGGATGTCCTTTAACTCCCACATTAACTGCCTTTTTTCAACTACATATTATTGCAAAAATCTGACACATCCTGTCTCAAAATGACGCAGATAAACTAGTCCACGCATTTGTTACTTCTAGGCTGGAATATTGCACTTCCTTATTCTCAGGCAGCCAGAATAAATCCCTAAGTCTCTCTATCTGAACACAGGGTTACTTGTGGTTCAGAGAGTTTCCAAAAGTATCAAGCTCCTCTCCTGTGGAACCAGGTCCAAATTTAGGTTTGGGAGGCAGACACCATCTCCACATTTAAGACTTTCCTCTTTTCTCTTATAGTTAGGGTTGGCTCAGGTGAGCCCCAAATCATCCCTTAGTTATGCTGCTATAGGACTAGACTGCTGGGTAACTTGCCCTGAACTCCTGTTTCCCTCCCCATCTATATGCATTCTTCTCCCATTAATTCATGTTACTTACTGGACTTCTTCCCTCTCCCGTAGTAGTTTGTACTTTCTCGCCCCTCTCCTCTCTCCTTCTTTCGCTTCCTGCAGGTGTTTCTGGCTCCGGAGCTGTGGAGTCTGGATCTATGGTTGCATTGTGCTACTGTGTGTTGTCTTTATCTCCTGCTCTCTCCCACTGTCCTCAGCAAAATAAAACTGAATTGTTATATACATAAACCAGTTAAAGTGCCTTATCCAAATGAGGTCAAAAAAGCCGCTACGCTTTTGGCAACTTAAATTGTGATTTTTGAGATAAAATGATGAGGGTGGTAGTTAATCACACTGGTACTATTACATAATTGCACCTTGACCAGGTTTGCTCCACTTGATGAGATCTGCACCCTGTTGTCCAAGGAACCTGTGAAAAAGACAATAAACTTTTAGTGGCTTACAGTGAGAATCTCATTCAAAGCAAAGCATTTCTACAGCAAATTGTAGCTTCCGCTTAATTAAGGACATTGATACATATATATAAACATATTTAAATCTTGTCAATTACGTCAACTAGAATAGTGAAATTCCTGCGTCACTCATAGATCATAAAGTAATGTTCTGGCCGTTGAGACATTAGAGATAGGTTGCCTGATACATATGATTCAGCTTGAAAGCCAAAGAAAACTTGAACAAATAACACAGTAAAGCTTACGTAAATGCATAATGTGGTACAAGTAAGAGTCTAAATCAGTCTTTTCCATAGAGCCATGCAACATAAAAGAACTGTCTGTGAACACACAGGCTCTAACAAGGCTGCTGCTAATGAAAAGAACAGTTTGGACAAAACCATCAATTGCAATTAGTTTTAAAGTAGTCACGGGAAGCTCATCCAGATCAGTGTGTACGCAGTGTTCCCAGATGATTCAATTTACAAAGAACATGTGAGTGTCACTCAGAGGACAAACAGGAAAGTACAGGAAGACGACAACAGGAAGCTGTGAGTGCACTGCTGCTCTTATTGTAGTCTGAAATTGACCAAAATGTGCTATGAGTATCCAATGCTTTGATTTGACTCCCTTACCCAGACAGCCAGTATATACTGCATGTCTTTTTGAGGCAAACTCACAATGACTACAGAAGACAACTTAAAAAAGAAAAGAATTTGACATTGAATCACCTGAACTTTTCCAAACAAAAAATAAAACACCAAATGCACCTATTTATTGCTATATCAATGGGCACAATTGCTAGATCAAAAAGGTGTGGGGACAAAGGCAGCCCGTGTCCAGAAATGATTCTACTTTTTCAATCCATCAGGATCGCTGTCTCAGGATAATTTGTGTAAAAAGATCAGAAGGGGGGCGTAGATGAAAAGTAGAAAAATATGGAGTGGACAAGCTGAATGAACATGAATTATGTAGGGAAATAAACAGTTTGCTGCTTGACCTGAATCATTTATTTTATTTCAATCGAATTCAAGTGGGGATTACTTTTTTATTTGTTGCTTCTCCAATATTGTTAATAATTGATAAAAATTTAATCTGTTTATGTGTGGTGGTGGGCATGACAAAAAAAGTTTCAAAATGATATAGTTCATGATCTTGTTAAGCCTGGCTGAAAGGTCCTTCGTTAGAGATAGAATCAGCAGCCAGTTAGATACAAGAGTGGGTATTGATCTTTTCATCTAACTCTCAGCAAGATGTCCAGTTATTCCATATAGTTGTCTACTTTGTGAGCTCATCTGTCTCTTCACATTATTGCTGGTTACTGGTTTCTTCTTCCCTGCTGTGACTGTGATAGGACGACCAGGGGGAGAGAGTTCAGGTAAACAGCTGGATGTCCAGCCTCCCCAGCATTGATTATGGACCCCAGAGAGCTTCGGTTACTAGGGCTAATCTTGGCCTTATAGACTGTCTGTCGTGCTGGTTGGCAGTGGAGATATTGTATTAAGAGACCACACACAGGCAGCATGACACTCTCAACGGGTCGGGGATGGAACTTGTGTAAAGCAATACCTGAAACCACGTGGGGATACAAAGCCAGCGGCTCACTTCGAGGAGAGATTTATGAATATCTGTGAGCTTGTTCAGATGTGATGGTGTCAGTGAGACTCGACTGCCACTCTTTAAATACTAGCAGCCTTCCATCCTCATCCAAACGCTATCTGGATTTCTCTGTGGAAAACACACACCTTCTCTGACAATTTTTTTTTCTTTGATAAAAAAATAAAAAATAAAATACAGAACCTTGTATAATCATGGCGCCAGAAAATGTGTGTTCTCAGAAACATCTACATGGTCGACATCTTGCCAGACATCTTGTGACCATCAGAGCCTCCTAAAATAAATTATGCCAAGTGTGAAGGACAGTGAAGGCCTCTCAGGTCAACTAACCGTGTCAATGCACAAATTAAACATTCAGTCCAGCTCAGGATTTGGTGGAGACCAAAACAGAGCTGCAATGAGAGAGAATATTGGACTTCAAATTCAGTGGGCCACCTCGTCAGGGGGCCAGAAATGTGACTTCAAATGAATACTAATGTTGCGCCAACACGTATGACATAACAACCCCAAGTTCCCAAAAAAATCAGTGAGTGCAGAATTAAGGTTTGTTGACTAAATGACTTGGTTAAGGTTAGGTACAGATGATGGGAAACAAACACTGACTGTTGGTAGGACACAGCATCCAAACTACAGTCTTCTGTGTCAAAGTCAGAAACTTCTACCTAAAAATTCAAGTTCTATTCTTGTCATGAAACAAATTTTGTTTGGAGGTTTTATACATGCACCTTAAACTGTATTTTAGCCAAATTCCCATAAATTACATGTAGAAAATGCAACATAGAGAGGTATGTTTGCTGAGATGATAAAGATAAAGCTGCCATGAGCTATCTATACAGCCAACCTAGCACTAAAATCAACAAAAAACAGCTAAGCTTCTACTAACTGCAGCTGTTTTTCTGTGGACTGGTAGTGGCCTCTGTTGTCAATAAGAATGTGACATCTGAGGGCTTGAAAGTTCCCACAAAGACAGCCACAGAAATGCTGTTCATTTCTGTGACCTGATGGTATGTTGTTGAATGGCCAGATATTACCACTAAATATGAAACATGTGACATTTACTGATGTTATGATGCTAATATGCAAAGTGAACCAAGTGTAAAGCTGTTAAGTTCAAGTTCAGGTTAACTGGCATTTCAACCATGAAAAAACAGTTTGACACATACAAAACATCAGACAAAGTGTTTGTTGTCACATGTTACAATGCAGTAATGCATATTGTATTTGTCTCAGGCAGCTATCTAAACGAGTATTAACAATTTCTCTGTTACGAATACGAGGTGCTATCTTTGTTAACACAGCTTAACATCAAGCAAGTGCGACAACCCAAGACATAGCAATATTATTTGCTAGTCCAACTGTGTACACGGAAAGAAGGCCAGTTCCGCGTCTTGCAGCCTCTTGCTTGGTCATTTTGTTTTACTCTTCTTAGCTTCCTCCATCAATGTCCTCTTTGGTCTCTTCGCGTCTACCATAGAGGCCGTTGAGCCCGGTTGTGTTGCCCGCTCGCCCTGCTCTATTCGCCACCAGCATAATGTTATTTGAAACTTGAGTGGCAAGCTAGCCAACAAAACTGGACAGCAACTGACAGAAGAGCACTTAACAGTAAGATTTATAGCTAGCGGCTACACCTCTGTGAAACCTTTGGCTGATTTTGACAACTTTGCTAACACAGTCAAACATCCAGCAAGCGCAACAATACAAGACACAGCAGAAGAACACTAGTCCAACAGAAAGAAGGAAAGCTCGGCGTCTGACCTGCATCCTTTCAGCTCCTTTAGCTCACGCCAACGAATAAAAGGCACTGAAATATTTACTCTTGTCCGCTTGGTCACTCTCTTTTGTCTTCTTTGCTTCCTCCGACAACATCTTCGTCGGTCTCTTTGCAGCCTCTGCCATGATATCTATACTGAGAATACCGAGCTAGCTTCTTTCAAAAGCATACATTGTTTATTATATTGCTTCTTCTTATAGCTTGCTTGCTCAAGAGTTTCGTAGAAGTGTTGTGGTGCTGTAAAGCATTACACTGCTCTCACGATAGTAATCCTGCACGGGATTTCAGTCTTATAGAAACCGCCAAGGGCCACATCTCAGTTTAGGTCAATGGTCAACATTGAATATGTCGTCAAAGCAAATACACAGGTAGCTGTTGTTCCTATAGTCCTGATTAATCTGTTTGAATCATCTTGTCATATTTACTCTCACTGCGTTCTGAACTGTGAACGGTAGACTACTGTATATATACTGAACCGGGCTTTACAGAATAATATGCTGTCGGGAATGTTTCTTTTAAATCTCAGTCGTGTTGGTAATGGCAGTGTGAGTCATCTCTGTTGTAAGGAAAAAAATATTTAGCAGATCTTTTTCAGATATAAACTGGATCTGCATGTTTAGTACTTTTTCATTCCAGTCAGAACAGTCTCCAGGGAGGTCTTGGAAAAGTTTATTTTTCCCAGATTCTGACTCCCTAGTCCTTTTTCACTCCTTCTTGCCTCGTCCCTTCCCTCTCTTTTTTACCTCTCCACATTGTGAAGTAGTGCAATGGAAATTTTTGAGCTTATTGTACTCTCATATGATTTCTATAGCGTACTGATCTCTTGAATACATCTTGTTGTTTCATGCATGAGCACTGTCTGTCCTTCAGTTATAAAACATACGGTGATACCTTGGGACACAGGGCGAGACTACGTTTTCTTTATCTTTGTGTGACAGTGTAAGCGATCATTACCAACAGTTGTTGAGTTTCATTGTCGGTTGACTCAGCAACAAAAGGCCAACTATGAATGGAAAATAGTGCAATTGGACAGCTGTGTATTAATTAAAGAAACAAATGTTTTGTGACGCATGAGACGATGATTGAAATACAAATGATGATTTCCATAGCGGGATTCTCTCTCCCAACACGCAGGGAATCCATTTACAAAAGTCAGTCGGATGTCAGTCGGAAATAAATCTCTGAAAGAGCTGTTCTTGTTGAATTCTCTTTTTCCAGAACATTCCCATGACAAGTAGCAAGCAAAATTGAAATCATTTTCTTCACATTATATATACAGTCAGCATAAATGCCAATATAATTAAAGTTTGTTTTCAACCCACTGGTCAATCAAAGCAAGGCTATACAGGATGGGTTCCATCCTCTCCTGTGTCCTGACAGAGGAATGTGATCTCTCAATCCACTCGGATCTCCTGTGGCAGACTGTGAACTGTGTATGAACTGTTTGAACTGGACAAGGATCATCAACTCTCACAGGTCTCACAGGACTGACTGGACCTTCAAATAAAGGCCCAAATTCCCAGTAAAAGTTAAACTATGATGAGAATGTTGTGTACCTGTTTACATGTAAACAGAACATTCAATTAATGTGTTGCATTCATACCTGTTGAAAAGATAGTTATGTAATGTTGCTATATTGTATTCACCCCAGCGTTGTAGGAAAACAATGATTTAGAAATACACATTTTTTAATGAATATTTGCTGTTAGGAAGAAATGGATTAACTCTAGAACATTTCAGCTTCTGTGAAGCCTTCATTTATTTCTTAACGGACCTGTGGATACAGTAGTGAACAGTGTGGATTACAGCCAGGGGCCAGTGTCTCTAGCAGACATGTGATGTTTTTGTTTCCTCCCTCTTGTCCGTGTTACTGCATCTCAGATCAAACTGATTACCGACTAGTCCTGGAAATCTGTCACCTGCAGGTGTCAAATGCATGACCAAGACAGTAGGTCCTCCTACGACATGGCTGGTACTCAAATAACCCAGATGATTTGTCTCACGGACATTTTGTTTACCTCTAGCTTGGGTTACGCTTGTGGTTGTGCCTTGGTGAGTCAAAGAGATGACCTGGAAATGTACGCTTGCGAAAAGGCTGCACTCACATGAGTGGGTTCCTTCTATCTTTCGTTTGTTCTTTCTTAAAATTGGCCAAATTATTATTATTATTATTATTATTATTACTATTATTATTATTATTATGTAATTTGCGCAGGTCGGAAAATCTGCGACAAATTCAGTTAATTTTGCCATAGACACCGTTGTTACAATTGACACGAAATCTTCGTTGAAATTGAAAAATGATTTGTGTATCTGCCCTGTGATTCCGGATCTTTAATGGGTTCTTCCTTTTCTACACTCTTCTACCAAGTCTCATGAAAATCCAGCCAGTGTAATCCTGCTGAAAGACAAAACGTCACCAAAACATATGGCTCCTTGGTGAAGTTAATAATGACATTTTTAATAATCTTTGCAACCATTTATATGAGAAAGACATGCAAATTCAAGCCTACAAAATAAAACCATATACAATATTCAATACCATAAACATCTGTCTAATTAAGAGAGAAATCCTCCATTCAACACTCCAGGGCAAAACACTGCTGCACATTGCACGCTATCATCATACTTCTTAAATTGGATTTGCCACCTCAGTGTATAGCCTGACTTTGAATGGTTGGAATGTAAGCCATAGTTGACACAAGGCAAACAGACTGCATATCATTCAGAAATTTGGCAGACTCCTTGCAAATAGCTATTACAAGTTCCATAAAACATTTTTTACAGCACAATACAGACATGAAGACTGTGCACAACAGCAGTAGATAACAGAGCAAAAGATTCAACATTTATAAATTCTTATGACCACAACAGTAAACGTGACGATAATAGCACTGTCCAGCTACTTCACAGAGGAATAAGAATAGACTTATTGCTTTGTTTATACGTTGGTGTGCAGAAGCCACAATGGACAGAGTGAACAGAACAAGACATGAGGTCAAGTTATCTCACTGACAGATGGCTTTGATTTATTTATTTGTATTTGACACACATTCAGAACATTTATGATATATTTTAAATGCAATCTGATAAATAGGTTTGACATGACATGGTATGTAGACTAAACAATAACTTAATCGGCCCTGCCCCCTTATCCACAACATTGGACTGCAGCCTGAATCCTGCACAAGCTGAATGTTTGTGGTCATATTTTGCTTCATTGAGGTTTTTGGTTGCTGGTTTCCAATTCCTCAAAGTGCTATGTTGTTAGCCATGGCTTCGCTCTTGTCAGATTTCCATAGATCTTGAGGACCTCACTTGGATTTCCTTCATGCTGACACGATTTTTTTTTTGGCTTTCAGAAACAGTGGACTCACCACATCATCCAAGCTTGGAACTCTGATGACAGTAAACGGTGATGATGGTGTTAAATGAAACACTGAAGGAATAGCTCAACATTCTGGAAACTATGCCTATTTGCTTTTATGATTAGATTTAGATGAGAAGATTTATACCACTCGAATGTTTGTCAAATATGAAGCTATAGCCACCAGCTGGTTCTGTCCAAACTCTTGAAGAATAGTCATTTTTACACTGAGTTTTTTGTTTCCAATTAGAGATGTAACGGGTTAAAGGGGCTACATGTAGTTTTTCAGTGAAATTACTTCTTGATATATCAAATTTTCGCTGCCATATTGTCAATGGGCTGTAGCGTCACTTAGAAATGAAGTTCACGCCTGTTTTCACTCTTGCTTGGAACAGCCACTTTTCTGCTTTTTATGTGAGGACACCGGATCGGACTTAGCCCTGTGCACGCTCCCGAGCCTCTCTCCGACTACAGCAACAACACTGCAGTAAACGAAATACAGTCTACTAACACCATAAAAAAACACAACACGGACTCCAACACAAACTCCACATAAGGATACAAAACAACAGTAAAGGTTTATGTGCTGAAGCCTGTCAGACCAAACAAGAATCCGATGATGTTAGTGAAAACAGTCAACATCAGAAAGACTGGAGTCACGGAGAGAGTCACGTTAGCTCACAGGCTAACGCTGAGTAGTTGCTAACGTTATCCCATGCAATATATAATATGTAAAGTTGGCTTTCCACATTACTTCACAAACTAACGCAATCCACATTACTATCCTGTGTATCACCGGTATTATATTAAAGTATGATTTTAGCCTGCAAGAAATTATGTATCGGTACAAATCAAACATGGAGCCATTTGTTTACATTACCCTATAGATGGGTTTCTTGTTTACAAACACTACTGGATGCGGGGCAAAAGTGCTTTGGTAGCTGGTCAGAAGACTGTAGTCAACCACAACGTAGAATACGCATTGTTTGTAAATTCTTGTTGACTTAATAATAAACTGGGATTTCAGAGTTGGATCTGTTTGTTTGTGTTTCATTTTGAATATTAATATAACATATGCAACCGCGCTGCAGGCTAGCGAAGATGGAGGTAATGTTGTTCAAATCAACTGCTAGCCAAAAGGCTAATGGAAAATGAGGGAGAGAGGCATTCTTTCCACAGCTGTAAGTACTGCAATTTGTCCAAGCTGTGTCACACTCAGAGATGCAAAGAACATTGTCTTCCGTTGTAAACTTTGTATGACCAGCAAAAAGTTTACAACTGCAAACAATTTTGTATTGAAGCATCTGCTAAAGCAGCACAGCAACGTGAAACTTTGCCTGTAGAAAGAAACTCCGGCTACTGTGATGCGTCCACTCGGCAGGAGAAAGTGGTTTTAATCAACGTTTCGTGTTTCTTAAAAGCACAGAATACTTCTCTTATAAATGCAAGTGCAAAACAGTTAGTTCTGAAGTCGAGACACTTGCTTGATTTTTGCTCAGACAGTGGCGTTAAAAAAGGTATATGCTTCGTAAAAATCATACTCATTGATGCTGTTATGAATACGCAATTAGCTAAAAAGTCAGGAGGGACCTGCTTTGTTTTTTTAAAATTATTTTTAAATAGCCTATATGATACAGCATCCCCTGGTCTCAGAGGCTGCAGTGTTTTCAGTCCTGCTGGTTGACTCCTCAGGTTAATTATTGTTCCAGTAAAGTGGATTCATTTCTAAAATGCGCTGCTGAACAGGTTTGCTGTCACTTCTAAGTATGGGGTGGGGTGGTTGAAAGTAATTGTAACTTAACGAGAAATATTTTTACTTTTCTACTTATTTACTTTTAATACCCAGTAATAAGTAATATTATTACTTTTTAAATGAGTAATAAGTAACTCATTACAATTTCTGAGTAATTTGCCAAACACTGCAGCTATATATGCCATATAAATTGATATGCTGCGAAGACCGAGTTCTGCTTTCTGCCCCCTGGTTGCGCGCGCAACTCGGTGATGATGTTGCACAGAAACCCGTCTATAGTGATGCGAGGCAGGAGCAGCAGGCCGCATTAGCACGGATCTACCGCTGTTTGCTTCGTAACGTTCAATTATTGAGGTTTACTGATACTCAGGTACACAGCTTCTTAACCATCTTAGTTGCTCTAACTTATGTAACCCACATAATATACAATACTGCAACATAACGGCACAGGATAACAAATTGGAAGAACCATTCACCACAGTAATGTTACCTACTGCGGTCTAACTGTTATAAAATGTGGCAACAGTCTTATTTATAATATTCAGGCCAGCTCACTAACCGTTTCGTTGTCCTCCACTACATTTAGCTGTGCTCACATTGCTGAGCCTCCGGTGAAAATACACAAATAGTAACATTACTGAAAAGCTGGCGATGTATTACGTCGGCTAAATGCAGAAAATGTAACTTTTTCATGTAACGAGCATGAATCAGTAAAAATATTACTGTAACGTTGCAGTGGGAGTTTACCTGAGTTTCCAGCATGCTGGGTGAAGCTGTCTCTCGGTGAACCTGTCTATAGCTGCTGTCACACTGCCTTTTCTCCAGGAGTATTGTGCCAATATGCAGCTCGGTGCGCTGAATGACCATGAACTACTCTGTGTGATAAGCTACTGCTGCTGGGTAGATTTTGCTACATGTACAGAGGTGCTGCTGGCTGTAGCTCCATATTTATCGTACATGAGACAGACGTGGCAAGAAAGTAAATAAGCATATTTCCCGGAATGTCAAAATATTCTTTTAAGTGTTGTAAACAGGAAATGTAAAGGGACATTGCAATTACCACAAATTAAACAAATTTTGAACAAATTGAAAAAGACCACAATTTTTTTTGTTCCATCAAGAAAATCATGCTAAAAAGAAAAAAAATTCCAAGCCTAGTTTTACTAAAAAATATAGATAAATATATATAAAGCAAAACACTAGATTTACTGTTACAACCATAGTAACCTAATATTTCATTGATAAAACAAGCATATCTATTGTACAGTATGTAGAGCAAACTGCACTCGGTTTCCTCAAAACAAGTTGGACATTGAAAACACAATAGTATTTTGGTGTGTAAGGTAGAATGCTACCACTAAAAGATCAAAAGTTTCAGTGCACCATAGATGATCAAAAGCAGAACATCTGCTCTGAGTGACACTCCCTTTTTTCCACTTTTCCCCAGCATTCCTGAAACTAACAGCACATACATTTTAACTGTCAGGCAAAAAACGTGCCACGTGAATCTCCCAAACAACCCTGCACAGAGGGGCAGACACCCACTGCTGGGCGATGTCATATTTTATGAGCAGCAGTTTAAATATTTAAAATACCCATTATTCATTAACTTGGTTTTCAAATACCTCCACTGCAGAAACAACACAGTGCTCTGTTTTGTCCCTCAGCTGTTTTTTGAGGGAAGCTGTTTTGATTTAAAACCTACAATAAATCAGAAGTTGTTGGAGCAACCGAAAATGTTGAAACCCAAACAACACTCATAATCCAAATGTGCTTTAGTGAAAGAATAATGCACCGTCTCCTTTGTCGACTCCCTAGCTCTTCTCTCAGGAGCTGGCACTTCAAACAGAGTGGGGGAAACAAGGACTCACAGTCAAACATTTTTGCTTGTACTAAAGCTGTCAGGAAGAAAAGGATTTATGTTTCAGAAAAGTGATTATTTCCATCACAATAGCAATATGTCACAGTGTTAGGTATGAACAGGGGTAACTAAGAGACGACCCTAATGATGCACTTGTCCACTGTTAGCATGCTGCTAGGCTCATCTCCCGGACACATCTAATGACATCACTGGATAGCTTGCATATTAACAACATGCAATGTTGTTGTTTGTTTCATCTTTCAAATGCAATCCCCTGCTTAAGGTTGAGGGCAGATCTGTGGTGTGAGCATGCATGAAATGCTTTCCTTCTGGTTACCAGCAGGCAGCTGAACCTGACAGTGATTTCCACAGGCAACAAGAACAGGGGAGATGTTTGTCAGTAAGAAAAGATATTTAAAGTAGAAATGTCAGACATTATACAGAGGTAGCACTGGGGGAGCGATTACTATGGTTACAACATAATTAAATTTTTTCCTACTCTTATCAGCATTTCAAAAGAAAAGCTGGTGATTATGGTTATTGTAATTCCCTCGTCCTTGTCAATGTCTTCAATCACCAGGATGTTACACTTATCATTTGTCCAATAATTTCATGTTTTTGAAAAAGGGACATAGCCTTGTGTTATACATGAACATTTTTGAATTAGAGTACACTATCTTAAATACTTTGATGCACAGTTTTAGTCATTAATACAAAATAAACCAAGTCAATAATGTTATTTTAATTTGAGATACTGTGGAGAGGGTGTTACAATTGTTCTTTTATTCACCCAAATCCAGTCCCTTAGCTTAAATTACCTGCAGTAATATTGGTCTTTGAAATAAAGGCAAACAAAAATCTGTTGTATAACCTTAGCTCTTGTCCTCAGAGCTGTGTTCCTACTTCTCCTTTCTTTGGTATGCAGACTTCTGGCATCTTGAGTCAAATCCTTTTGCTGCCAAACCCATTTAAAGTTACTACTATGAAAGACATTTTTTCACTGACTCACCAGCATGAGGTGAGAGGAACCTCCGGCTTCTTCAGAGGTCACTAAGTTCTGTCACACATCGCATCTGAATTAGCTGCTAATGACCGTGTTGGTCATATGACAAGTGCCTCAGTGGCTGCAGCTGGCAGCCAGACAACAACTAATAGTATTATGTCCTAACCTCAAAGGTACAATCACCAGCTTCTCTGCCCTTTGCAGGATTGAGTGCACCCACCTTTCATAAAGTGGGTTGCTTTTTTCAGAAATTGTAAACTATGTGAAAATCATGTTGCATATTATTATTAATTTTACTATTACACACACAGTTAGTCAATGAAATAAATCTCTGTGGGGGGGAATCTTCAAAGTGAAATGATATAAATATTTTATATGAATGAATCACTGCACAGCAATTACAGTATGTCTCGAAGGAGGTCACCTGACTACAATTACACACACAAGATGGCACTTTGATGAAGTGCTTAGGGAGTAGACACAATAAAAACATGTCAAATATATATCAGACAATAGCATGCAGGGAATACAATCCATCCTTTGTGTCAACTTTTTTTGTTCTGTCAACTCTATTGGAGGTTTTGATACCTTTGGTGGGTTGTTGTGTGGTCTGGATCTTGCTTGCACTTAATAGAATACAACAATATAATATAATCCCATCACAAAATCTACTGGAACATGTTTAACCTCTCATTCTGACATGTGACCCTTTTTATCATCAATTAAGTTTGCACATATTATGTTTTGCTCGGTGGTAAACACCATATTTGTCTAAATTACATTATTGATTTATATTGATATTAAACAAGAATAAGGTGACTTGAATTACAGCACACTTCATTTTAAAAACTGTTAATATTTGTTTAAAATGCACTTGCATTTTTAGTGACATAATATCAAACATGTACATTATGCTAAACAAGGCCCTCACAGTCCAAAAATGTACAGTGGGCCAAATATGCAAACAAAATAGTAACTTTTACCCACCTGTTTCCTGTAGTTCTCCAATACTCTCTGAAGAAAACATTTTGGCAGCACATCACCTAATGACATTTTTCCCTCAATTATATTTTCACCTCATTCACAAGAATGTTAAAGTGAGCTTTGGATTCCGCAATCCCACATTAGCATTTCTCCTGCATTCATTGTTTACAAAATGTTGAGCAAGCATTCACAAAAACCAACGGGCTGCCTTCCAGCATCAGCCACTGTTTATACTTCAGTGACATTCACACAACCACTTTGGTTTGAGTTACGTTTTAGCAGTGTCTCTGGGAAAAAGAGAAAAAATCTAACCTAAGGGTTTTGTCATGCCAGTGAGCAAAAAAGCATATTGTTGGGGAAACCAAGAAATAAGGAAACAACTGACTGCAGTGATACAAGACAAATATTTAAAAAAATTTAAAACATATCTTCTGATATCGAGCAAGATGGAATGCATATACATGTGTTGGCAATGCTGGCACTTCCATGATGCTAAAGTATGTACAGTATGTGGTATGTATAAAACACAGACACAGAGATAGACAAATATGTACTGTTTTTATAACCCTTTAAAATGTGTGCAAACGTTATCATAACTACAAATAACAAGTTACTACAAATAACTCTCCCATGGCTGCAAATCCTTCAACAGGACAACCTGCATGTTTTTTTTTTCAGAAAACACACTTTTTCAGCAAAATACACCTCCACGTTGACCTGTGGGAGCAGCCCAGTGCAACAACAGTCTTCTTCTGTTTCCCCCGTCAGTAGCGGCTGTCGGGACAGTTGTTGAGGTGAAAGACGTTCTCATTCATTTTCCTCATCCAAATTTTCCCAGCTGCTCTATTGTAAAGACACATTTCCAAAGCTAAACCACTGGAGAGGCACCCAGGATCACATCAATAACTTCCCTTTCACACACATACACACAAAAAACATACACTCACACACACACACACACGCACCACACCTTTTGTTTCTGTGCAGACCCGCACCGCCGCCTCCTCCTCCTGACTGAGGCTTTGCTGTAAAACAACAGGGGAATCTGCCGTGGTGACACGGTGTACCCTGGTACTTTTCCACAGATAACGTGTAGTGAAAGGTTGAGTGTTGCAATGTGTGTTTATATTGACTTTGCATATTTATTGACTCACATTCTGTATAGTCAAGGTAGACTATGCTCAATTCTGCCTTCAGTGAAGATGTTTTAGTCCTTTCCCTGAGTAGGAACTTGGTTAATGAACATCAGTGCTTGTATCATGAAGATAATCTTCTATTTATACCACTCATACTCAACACAGGGATACAAAGGGTTTTGCAAGATAAAATAGCTGAAATTACAGAAATACAAAAGGGCAAACATATTTACAGAATGACCAAGAAAGCAAGCCAGATCTTGTCATGGTGACAAATCTTTGCCCAATAAAATATTTTCTATGAACTCCTACTGGGAAGTGTGTGTTGTCCAGACAAGTCACAGACGTTGATCCATCACTTCCCATATGGCTGGATACACAGAGCGATCCTCAGTCGACCTTTCCTCTACATGTACAATCCGTTTAGCCACTTACAACTGAGGATGCATTCTTTGCTTTGGTGCAACAAAGCCACCATTCATGTATACCCTCTAAGCATTATATTCGAGGTTGGACCACGAGGACATGAGTCGCTGTCCTCAAATGCCCTGAAACCAATGAGATGTTGATTTATATTTTGGAAAGTGTTGGGGAACATCACAAACTGGCCTGTTTTTGCTTCAGCATATTCACTAACTTTTACTCTTGATAATTAATTGCTGTTATAATCTTGTGCTCAATTGAACCAGGATGGAAGGGCAATGCCCTGAATTCTTTCCAATGCTAAAATTCTCAGTACACCTGTAACAACAACAAAATCTCCGGCTTAGACAAAAATAAAAGTTTATGGACCCCCCCCCCCCCCCCCCCCATACCAATACAAAGTGGTAATACAAAACACAGGAATTAAAGGATTTATATCACAAGCGCTGAGAGGAAACTAGATAGGCTAATATGCATGTTAGCAGAAGCACGTCCCCATCTCTGCTGCCAAGCCAGGCTGTAGAAACCACAGATATGAAAGTAATTAAGAGCAGAGTTCCTGTTTGATGTTGAAGAAGCAAACTGTACTTTTCTTTACTGTAATATGAAACTCATCTTCAACCCAAACACGCCACATTGGAAGACATGCAAACAAAATGTGCTCTGAAATAACCATGTTTTAATTTTGCCCACAGGGGATTTACCATTCAGAAGTATATGCATGGCACAATGCTGCTAAGCTCACATTCATACTAGACTGGTGGCATAACCAAAAAAACCTAAGTGTCATCATGTGTAATGAGCAGTCTGACATTGTGCCATGGAACTGTCACTGACATGATAGTTCATAATGTTTAAGGCAGTTTTACAGTGTTTTAGGACAGTAACTAACAATTATTTTAATTATTGTTCAATGTGAATTTTCTTGATTAATCAATCAAAATGGTTTTGGATTATCCAGTGTCAGATTGTAGTAAAAATGACTGCTATAATTTTTTCTAAAATTTATGTTAAATATTCAAATAAATACTCAAAATGTATCAATTTACAATTTAGGGAAGGTTTGGTATGTTTGCTTCAAAACTGACTCAGCTGTAAGTGTCTTGTGTTGTGTTTCATGTCAGGTCATTCACACTTTTTATCTAAATTGAACTCTAAGAAGATTTAAGACAACCAGATTATTTACACTTATCTTAAAATATCATCTCATGCTGAAAAAAGCTGACCCACCTCTTCTGTGCAGGACAACACATTATTGGCAGTTCGACATCACGGTACATTTGATGCATTGGGGTCAACTGAAGTTCAGTGATTATCACGCAAAGACTGCATACCACCTGAAGTTTAAGTATATACTACTCAGTAAAGCCCACACAGACTGTATGAAAGCAGTTCAGAGTTCACTATGTTTAGCTCACATGCACATAGTCTGTTTCATGGGATATGTGCAGAGTATACTTCATCAACAGCTGCTCAAAATTTATACTGAACTTTGTTCTATAAATAAATAAGTCAGAGTCTTATTTATACATATACATTTCTATCACAAACAAGCTTTAATTTTTCTTTTCTTTTCTGTGGCAATTTAGTCATATGTAAAACAACAATCAAACACAGTTAGATAGTGCAATATTTTTTTCTCTTATGCACACTGCTCCCCAAATTCAAGTGCATGCTCCTGGTAAAAAAAAAAGGTACTTTCCTCTTCCCCCTCAGGCTACTCGTCTGTGAAGACTGAGCTAGTTTTAGAGTCATATTTTACTGACGTGACCTTTGATCCCTGTCAGGCAACCATGTGCCTGGGTCATGTTTTGGGACAGGCACATTGACATCCGTCTGCGCCTAGGCCCCAGGGTCAGCGGAGTTCACGAGAGGGGGTGGGGAGAAGGAGAGAGAAATGGCCAAAAATTTGTTCCAGGGTCGGCATGGCAAAATCCCATTTAGCGTTGTTTTTATTCCATGCATTCTTCAGATGTGCCCTGCAGAGAATGAAAAAGGACGTCTGTTTGATGTATGGGAAACAGCCACACACAATCCGAAGAAAACAGCATGTTTTTTTTTTCTGTTATCAGGTTAGCTTTCTGCAACTTTCGTGTTTAAAAAAAATCTCTTAAAAGAGGCACTCCACTGTCAACAATATTAGTTTACTTGTCCTACTTAGTACTGCTCAGTCAGTGAAAACAACTGTAAAATGTTTTCTGTGGCTTTGAAGAAGCATTGAGACTACAAATTTACAGAAACTTGAAGTGTGTACTTTGAAAGAAGGGGGAATTTCCCTGGCAAGGAGGGTCTGTCTAAGGACAAACTATCATGTTGCATTATGGGAAATGTAGGATCCAGTATTTTTGGAACTTGACTCAGCCCCACAGTATTGTGGAATCGCAATAATAAATCAGTGCCCCTTTTTAAACCACTTTACAAAACTAGGGTTATTTCTGTGACCACCAACAATAACAGACATTTTCAGCAGATTGAGGTATATGTTTCTTTGGTGCAGCAAATCAGATATTCCTTGCAAGAAACAAAAAACAGACTTAGTCTGCAAAGCCAACCAGAAGTGCCATGTTTGTGTGATTTTGTTGATTTTACACTTAAATGTACAGATATCTACAACAGTTTGTGTGTTTCACATCTGCTATGGCTTATCTGCTATTGAGCCACAGCAAACCCACTAAAGTGAGGTTAAAGATGCTGCACTGATATGAGCAAAGAAAAGGCTGACTGATCAAACCTATGCATCCTCCTGCCTGTGAATAAACAACTTCAGCAGGAAATCAGATGTTTTACTTTCTGTCAAGGCCCTCCTAGTGACTGAATATGTTTTGTCTCTTCACATTCAGACCAGAAAATTTTGCGTCTTTCAAAGGATGTGAAGGTGAACAACCCACTGAAACTTGGGCCACTAAAGATAACCGCAGGGGAAAAACATCTAGAGTGAAAACATTAACTAGAAATAGACCTCTTTGTTGCCATAGCCACCTGAACAGCTGTAATTTAGACCTGTTGAGCTGCACTGCACATTTATTGCATGGGGAAAGATTCAGGCTGAGAGTTGATCTTTTCTAGAACGTATACAGTAAGCATAAAGATAGGAAACTTATTTTGCACAGTTTTATAATATAGTGCAAAGTAGTAATATGTTTGTAGAAGACAGTTTAGTATCATGTTAGTTACTTGGGTTTAATGTTGCTAAACATGATCTCCAAATTGTAATGTGTTAATTAGCAAATTGTGAGCCTGATGATATTCCTTGCATGATAAAACATTTCATTGAGATTAATTGGAAGCTAGTTTATTAATGGTTAAAAACAAAGGTGTCTGCAGCGCCGATGTGTGAAGTCCAAAGTCTGATCAAGTCTGTTTTAATTCACTAATGAACCTGGTCCTCTGTAAATTACAAGCTATAGTTCTCATTACGATAGTTCTGTTTTTTTTCCTAACTGAATGCTTGTTTGCAAAGCCTCACCACAGCTCAATAGTGAGAGTGAAAGGTGATGCCAACAGATGGTTATATATATATATTCAATATCCAGTTTTTGTAACATCAGATTTGACTGAATTGGGAAGTGAAATAGGGAAAAAATATACAGTTGTGTAGTTCCTCACAAAGGTAATTTATTTTCCAGAATATAATGTCTTGTGTTGTCTTGTGTTCAATACAGTATGATCGCATGCACATAGCTAAAGAAAACGCCTGCCCACCACATTCAAAGATAATGTTTAACATACTGTGCAGGGAAGATGATGTTCTGTGTAAGGTAACACTTCACATAAAGCTCACAAGAAACTAGTGAGGCACACATCCCTTTTGTTTAAGGTAAAATAGTTAAATAGTAATAAATATGTAATGTATATGTATGTTATTCAGAAACCCCTTGCTAGTTGTTCATTAAAGAGCAGTTAGTTCCTGATTTGTCAACTCATTCATTGGTAAGTACTCAAGATTTTGTGCTACCCAGATGAGTATACAGCTGCAATGGCGAGACAGGAAGTGGTGGGAACACCGATGTGCCTTTTTGGAGAGTTGAGAACTTTACTCACACACTCACACACTTCCTACAGCAGTATGTGTGACATTAAAAACAGGGTTTCATACCAGTTAACTTACTGTGCCAGAATGAAATGCCACTCACGCAATGTGAAATCAGTTTTGCCACGCAATAAATTATCAGTATTGTAGAACTCCCCAGAAGGTCAATCAAACGTTCACTGTAAAACATAAGAAAGTATACTGTACACATAAAAATACTGCCTAACGCATCAACTGAAAATTATTACTTTCAAGTGTTCTCCTTAATCAATTGCGCTGGCCAAAGTCAGCGTGGAGCAACGCAGGAAGCAAGCATGCAGTGGGGAAATGTTGAAGAAAAATAAAACTAAATCAGGGACATCATACTTGGAATTATTAAAGGATAAGATGACTAACTTTTCTCATCTCCTCGCGGCACCTCAGGCTGGTTTTCAACGACAACATGCTCTCATATTCCCCACGGTATTTATAACTCGGTCAGCTGACCTTGCACTTGGACCCATCCACTACACAGGGAGATTAACTCACAGACAAACGCACTGATTAACTGCTAAACTCTCGCAAATATTCCATACCAATCCTACCAAGATGTTTATTTAATGACATCTGACTGAGCAGCCGCGTGTTATAGTGCGCAATACAGACGGTGCGGGGTTGAACTGCTGCGGGTGGCGCGGAGCAGCTCCCCCGCCCTGCAGATAATGGTACGGCCCTCTGTTGAAATTCCGAGAATTGAGCCGATGTGTTTCTTAGAACTGGATTCTCAGAACTGGTGATGCTCAGAGTTTCGAGGAAACTTTTACAAGGTGACTTTTTTCCCTTCCTATTTTCTCAGCATTAGGTCAGAAGTGTACTGAAGTAGCAGATGCTCATGTGGCTGCTTCGGTTGCTTCGGGGCTGGAACTTTTTCCAATATTTTGTGATTTCTTAAGCTATAAGATGTGAACAGATTTTAACTATGAGTTGATTTTTAACAGCGGCACTGTCTGACTGTGTTTAAGACGGAAGTGCGGCTTTAGGTTGTGTGTGGATTGAATTGTTGCTCCTATCACTTGTACTTGAAGTAGGCTTTAACAGCTTCGGTTTGAAGCTAAACTTTAGCCAAGGCAGCCGTTAATCATAGCTCAGTGTTTGCTTGTTTTATTTTATTTACGCATTTTAAAGTAGCTTAACATTTGGTACACATTGTAGACTAATCCCTATCAGACGTGCAGAAGTGTCGCAACAGCATCGGTCAGCTTCTCTATGCGCATTTCTGTCGTCGACAGACAATCTTTTCACTTCACTGAATCTCTCCAACGCAGAGCCCACGACGTCTCACCATTACTTTGGACCGAGAAAACACTCTTTAAACACTTTAAAAACATGATTAAAACCACAAGACAGTGCCCAGACACGGCTGCTTAACAGTTTTGCTAAACTTGGCCGGATTTGTGTTGGCCTGCTCGGTGGCTCACAGCCGAAGTTACGCAGCTAAGAACTAACCACTCCTTGAAATCACATCCTGTGAAATGAGCCTGATATTTGAGGTTTAGAAATAGCCCGGGAGATTAGTGGAGCAGTGGGAGAGAGAATGTTAATGGGTTAAATGAGGTGAGTTCCACTTTTATGTCGGGGGAACAGGAAACCTCTCTGTGTACTGGCAACTTAATCTGAGCAGCCAGGACGGAATGTGCTCAACGTCAAACACGTTTACAACCTGCGGCAGCCAGTCTGCTCTGTTGTACGCTGCAAAGCTGCAGGAGAGAGAGAGAGAGGACGGACAGTTATACTTATATAACTTTAACTTTTGGGGTCAGCAATGTAGGATTGGGTTTGCATTATACTATAGTTTGTGCATTTACTGTCTGTGGTTACGATTTATTGTCGTCTCAAAATGAAGATACACGTTGTTCTAAGATATAGGCCTATTTGTGTATACTCAGTGACAAATATCACTGTCAATAATAACATGTGAAAATATTGATCATAGCGTTTGTAACTACACCGTCATTAAAGCCTAGTAAGAAGTAAGGGCTTGGATCAGAAGGTTTCTTAACGTACCTTTTTACTTTTGGCTTTGCAATGACGCCGCCTCTTGATAAAACACAGTCAAAACACTTGTTAGGTTCAAAGCTGGCTTTGATTACAAAGCCTGAAGGCTTGTAGTAGAGAGAAGTAGTAGAGAAGTATGAGCCGGAGGTGATGAAATATAATAAGAGTATTTATTATCTTGTGTAACAAGACTGTTCAGTTATGTATAGTTTAATAATTCTAATTAATTACAATTGTAATTGCATTTTGGCTTGTAATGTGATTTTGCTCGAATGTTGGGCATTAACATGATTTCCTGAGCATAACAGAATTTAGCAAAGTTAAAGCCCATCTAAGCTGCAAAATAAAACTGATTAGTCATTTTTCAAGTTTCACATATATTATTATTTAGTAGTGAAGTAATGTAACTTAAGCTTAATTTGTTTTTCTGATAATATGGTTGAGTTATGATAATATTGTCGCCAATATTCCCACATTATTATTCCACGTTATTTTTCAATAATTTTCCACGTTATTTTTCCACCCAGGCTACAGTGTGTGTCGCTCTCGCAGTAGATCAATTTTAGAGTCAAGATAATGAACAAACTGTTCACTGTCTGCCCTTGCTCAGATTTTGACAGCATGGCCACGACTGCAGATGGCTGCATTCAATTCACACGCCATGCAGGCGACGTCCTGCTCAACTTCAACCGCCTCCGCAGCAGGAACATCCTGACTGATGTTACCATACAGGTGGATGGACAGCATTTTCATGCTCACAAGGCCATCTTGGTGGCCTGCAGGTACCTTTTATATTCACAGTGCCAAATGAAGGGACTTATATTTTTTTGGTCACTGAATCACTGCCACAATCTCATTTCATACCTCATCCCAAGTAAATAGATTTTCAGTAGTTAATGGCTCTCATCTCTGCCCATGTTAAACACAGTATTCCCCTCTCTCTTGTTCTCTTACAGTGGCTTCTTTTATTCTGTCTTCATGGACCCAAAGAACGCAAACCTTAGTGCCATCAGCTTAGAACCCAAAGTGGACCCCAAGGGTTTTGCCATCCTGTTGGACTTTATGTACACATCCTGCCTGAACCTTAATGATAGGCTGGTCCTGGCCACCATGAACACAGCCATCTACCTCCAGATGGAGCATGTGGCAGACACCTGCCACAGGTTCATCAAGTCCAGGTAAAGGAAAATAGACAAAGACAAACTCTGTTTTCTTGGTTAAAATGAGAGGGATCTAAGTTGGTGTTTAACAACTTGTGATTGAATATGTTTCTGCAGGCATCAGTCTCTGAATATGCAGACTGAAGAGGTACACTCATTACATCTGGCTGAGGAGATCCCTGCCTTGAGGTCTGTTGATGATAAAGATTCAGACCTAAGAAACAACCATACATCAACCTCATCCCCTCTCCAGGAGTGCAGGGGCTACGTCCCAAATGTTTTCAGGGGGATTAACACCTCTGGCTCCTATCACGTCTATGGTGACCTCCATGTCCCTGCTGGGAAGTTGGAAAGTTCCCATAAGGTCAGCAACCTTCCCAGTGGAGGGGCTTTGTCCCAGACAAGATGGTCGCAGTCCAATGAGTCCACTACCATTATCTCCCGCCCCAGTTTCCCCACCAGTATCATCCGACAGGCAGGAACCCACGGGAGCCTTCAAAGGCCTGCCACTCCCATGGAGGAAGACAGCATTCAGCATCCACAGACCAGCTGTCTAAGATTGTCTCCAGGTTTTATCAAGGGTGTGATTTGTAGCCCTCAAAGCCCCCTCAGATCTGACTGCCAACCCAACTCGCCCACCGAGTCCAACAGCAGCAGAAACGCTACACTGAGCTTCAAACAGTCCTCAGACTGCCCCAAAGACACCAAGGCCCGCAACTGGAAGAAGTACAAGTTGATTGTGTTGAACCAAACTCCTGATGACAATGAAAAGGAGGCTCAGGGAGGCAGCGCTGAAGCTACAGCCATGTCCCCTACGCTGAGCCCATGCAGGAGCGTTGCAGCAGGTGGACACAATGAGGTCCAGGCAGAGGAGGGAGCCAGCGAGCACAGCCTCATGTCTCAGAGCGCCGACAGCTGCAGCAGCAGCAGCAGCACCTGTAGCAGCATCAGGTAAAACTCCAACTTACTGTGAGAGCTGTCCATCGGAGGTTTATGTACATTTGTAAGAGAGAAGAACTTTGCTGTATAGTATATTAACTCTGTGGTTGTCTTTCTGTGTGCAGCCACCTCAGATGCTCCTCCTGTGGCTGTGACAGCCCTCGGTGCATGGAAATGGGCCACCTTTCTCCTGACTTATACAGCAGAGATGACACCACCAAACTACACTCAGAGTATTCCCCCTCCAGCTGTGGTAAGTGAACTCCATGTGTGCTGTACTATCCGCCTATGTTTAAATGAAAACAAATGATTTGGCAGGATTATTATTTTGCTTTCACATTTTATTTCTTCTTTCCACAGAAAACACCACCTTCTTCTGCAATGGATGTGACTCCAAGTTCACAGAGGAAGACTCCCTGAGAGACCACCTGGTCCAGGTCCACAGTGACAAGCCATACAAGTGTGACTGCTGCCAGGCTGCCTTCCGCTACAAGGGCAACCTGGCCAGCCACAAGACCGTTCACACCGGTAAGAATAATCATTCCCATTGGCTTTTCAAAAGTACCTTCAAGTGGACTTTGCGGATGTGACTGTTTCATTGATTGCAAAACCTGCTGATCTTAACTTCCAGGTGCGAAACCCTACCAGTGCAGCATCTGTGGTGCTCAGTTCAACCGACCGGCCAACCTCAAGACCCACACCCGCATCCACTCTGGAGAGAAGCCATACAAGTGTGAGACATGCGGTTCCAGATTTGTCCAGGTGAGAGAATAATAGCCACACCTTCTGGAAAGCAGCGCAAATGTCAAAACTCTACCTTTAAGGGTATGTATCTTAATACGTGTTTTCATTGTCCTCCAGGTGGCCCATCTTCGTGCCCACGTGTTAATTCACACGGGAGAGAAGCCATACCCTTGTGAGATCTGTGGAACACACTTCCGCCACCTTCAGACGCTCAAGAGCCACATGCGCATTCATACCGGAGAGAAGCCTTATCATGTAAGCTTCCTTGTCAGTCTCCCTCTCCTTATCCACTGTGTCTGCTGGCTAAAAAGAGAGTAATCCCTTCTCCCCCATGATCCACATGCCTGTCAATAATTGAGAGTTCTGGGTAGTAATCCTGCAGAGCTACGAACTCTAGGTGTGGGGGTTGAGGGATGAAACAGTCCATTTTAAAAGTCATCCTAAATGTTAATTTTCCTTTTTCCTCAGTGTGAAAAATGTGACCTTCACTTCAGACACAAGAGTCAGCTGAGGCTTCACCTCAGACAGAAACATGGTGCGGTCACTAACACCAAGGCTCAGTATCGCAGGACTCCCAGCAACATCATCACAGGACTGGTGAACTCCTGCTGAGCCTGCTGCATTCTTTAGTTTTTCTTGTGCACCGGCCGCCATGTTGTCAAAAGATTTTTCACAAACAAAAACATAAATATTATATATATGCCCTTTATGCATTTATATATGATGCACATTACTTTATGTAAGCTCTTTGGTATTTCAAAGATTGTAGAAGTTTATGCTTTTGTTGTGAATGTGAATTTTGAATGTGAATTTGAGCAGGTAACCAAACTGAATGTCAGCGTTGAAGGACAGCTACAGTTACAGTTGTGCTTTTGGTACTGGTGTGAATTTTCCCAGTAATGTGGTCACAGTTTATGTAGTTATTTTTCATTAGGCTGTTTTTGTAAATAAGATAATATATATTTTGAGATTGCCATCTGCTGGCAGAGTACGAATATATTTACGTTAAGATCATTTTTCTTAAGTGCAGTGATCTTCACTGACTGTCAATAAAACAAAGGCTTGTTATTTAGCCATTTCATATTTTGTGGTACGCATTGTAATATGTTCAGATTGTCGTTCATTTAAAAATTGTAATGTACATATTTTCTATCCTATTCTAGGCTCCTGTTGGTATTTTGCACATGCTCATGATGCTGTAATTCATATATTTTCATTCAAATATTTCTACTTAAAATGTTGTTGACATGTCAAAAAAATTGTTAGACCCCATGTGCAGCACTTACTATCTACCTATTTATGTTCTACGTTTTCTTGGCTGCATTGTATTACATTTTGGTGCTGCAATGATCCATTTTCCCCACCAGGATCGTGATTGTATTTTATTGAACCTTATGTATTACAGTGCACTCGTACGAACCAGTATATCCATAGTGCCTTACAGTCACACTTTTTTATTAATACATTATAAGTCTGACAATATGAAAGCGCTGGTAGTTAGAAACTGCTTTTGTGATGCATTTTACATTTGGTACATTGCCCAGTTGTCATGTGCATGCATGTCAGGTACTGTTGTTGTTTTGGAAGATGATAATCTGTTGTGTGTGGCTCTTAAAATGTAGATACACCAGGCCTCAAGCTAAAAAATGCTCAGGAATATTATTAATATGTAAGCAAATGTCTTTGTAACTGCATATATATATATATATATATATATATATATATAAATAAAATGCAAGTCATGCAGTTCTTGTTGCAACAATTCTATTCATTATATGCAAGTAAGATGGTTAGAGCAAAGACTGATTTGAACCTTTAACTACTAATGTCATTTTGTAGGTACTTGCTAAACCTCCTCCCTGGTGTTCACTCTTATGGATCATCAATTATTCTCCTATACAGATAAAAAAAAAATCATTTGGAGTAGCACAGAGGATTTAAGTAGCCAATAAATTTGATATTTTTGTTTAGGGAAAAGTCATACATCTAGGGATGTCAAAAATGACTCATTCATCAATACCACGAATAAATACATAAATGAACGCTGAAATATATAAAATCACACATATTGAATTAAAAGATTTGTTTATAAATGAATGCTGAAATCAATAGAAATGTTTAACCTAAAAGTAAATATATAAATACTAAAATACATATAAAATACAAGATTAAAATGCAGATTTATATAAATACATTAGACATTTATTTCCCCAGAAATGTCAAATAATTATTTATTTTAGCGCTCATATTTACAAATTTTTAAAATGTTTATATACTTATTTATTGACGACTGAGTTATTTTTCATCCTCAATGTAAAATCCAAGTGAAAGAGAATTGATTAAAAAAAAGAAACTCAGGATTAACCTGCTCAAATGATAGTGATGTCCAGCGCCCCCTGCTGGCTGATTAGGTTGAGAGCTACAAAGTGCACAGGGCTTTGTAAAAGGCTGTGTAGGATTTAATAACTTGATCAAAATCTTTTTATGGAATTAACTCCAGCAATATACTTATACACAGAGACAAGTACAAAAATAAAAGCATGTACTGTATGAATAGGAAACCCTTGCATAACACTGACCAAACACAAAGGGAAAATTTTTTTTTTTTACTTCAGTTTTATGTCCCCTCGCTCAAGCAGATACAGTACAGATTTAAATGTTCATTTTTATCTCCATGGTCTCTCTCTGACGAGTCGTAGCTATGATGAAGCACATCGAGGTGATAAAGAATGGGCCATCTATCACAGAGACATATGCCTGGTAACGCTAGATGACACAAAAGCAACTGGTCATGGCCCTGTGTTGCAGCCCATTAAACATGAACCTGATGTTTTATACATTTTATTTGGAGGCGATTGGCTGTTCCGTCTAGTCTTAAACCAATCCCAGTCTGTCATTATCAGGTCAAAACACAATTTGGTCTGAAGCATTATGGCTGCTTCCAATAACATGATACTATGAAGACATTTGTGATATATACCATTTTTGTAGAGACTTACTACTTACCACTACTAGAAGTGTGTTTGATTGTTGACAGAAAAAGTACCTTTCTAAGCAAACGATCCATTTTGTTACTATGCAAGGGCCTCAAACTATGATGAAAAACGGTGCTATGAGCTTTTCTGAAAATGAACTACTTCGTCACAAGTAGCAGCTAGGTGTCTCCACCTCTCATTCACACCAATACATATTGTACACACATCACAAACAGTGCAGCGTTTACAAAAGAGATGGAAAACAAGGGGAAAAAAGTCACCAAAAGTAAAAATTCAAAAGGAACAGACACATAATCTTATTATAGTGTACTTGCAGTTGATAAAAAGAAAACAAAAAAAAAAGGTAAATAAATGTTGTTGGCAGCTGGAGAAACTCAACCCTCTTTGTCTAGGATGGTTTTCACTTGAGCAAACACCTGAAAGAGAAAAACAGATGAGTATACTCCTGCCAAGTCATTTCAAAACCTGAACTACATAAAGTGCACGTTTCCACATCACGCTTGTGTAAGTTGCATTTTGGACCCCGGCTGGCATTGAAACTAGTAGTGATATCACAAAATCAGCTGGTACATAGAAGCGTTCAAGGTTGGCGCACAGAAACTTTCCCCCTTTAGCAGTTGACTGATGGCTGCCCCGACTGACAAACAGCTGTTGGCGGTGCCCAATCGAGGCGGTCCAACAGCTTGGACTTGTCTGTGGAGTCACCCTTGTTTCTGAAGTGACGCTTATTTTAAGTTTAAGTTAAGATGGAGCTTGGTTAGGCCTTTTTTCTACTGGAAAGTGATTGATTTACCAAATCCAATATACAGTTATATAGTTCTATAGATACAGTTTATAAGAGCATCTAGTGGCCATCAAATGAACTACATCTTAAAGAATTTACACTTCAAATTCAACATGCATTTGGGGAAGTTTTTTACTTCCACAGAGATGCCCCTGAGCCTGAATTAATAGTATCAGTCCTCTGTTTCTCCTAATTTGTTCTCGAAAGCCTTTGAGAGAGTTTGCTGACTAATAAAACTGCAATACTACTTGACAACAGTTTGATGGCAAATGTGGGACAGGATTTCCCAGCTATAGCCTACATTTAATGGAGACATACAATCTCAGGCAGACATCGGCGAGACTCATTTGGATAACAAACTGGATAAAACCATCAAGTTCTTAAAATAACTCCAATGCAGATAAAGCAACACAAAAATAAAAGCGGGACAGTTTTGAAGGTTATTAAAACATTTCCAGCGACAAGAGCTGCAGATCAGATGCAGGACTCATGCAGAGGAATGTGATTTTAACAAGCTTAATTACCTGCTGTAATCAGCTGTTCCACTACGCCTCTGTGTAAAAACCTGACTGATGAAAACTTAAAACAACTCTGGACCCAGTGTTTAGGTAAACTCCAACAGCCGTTCGCTGTAAACACGCCGGCTACTATTTCCGAGCAATACCTAATGCCGACTTTTGATCTCAGACGGACATCAGCGAGACGTGTGTGCTATTTGACTGTTGATTGTGATTTATTGGTTTGCAAACAACGGTGGAAAAGAGAGGAGCAGTCGTAGAAAAACACCTGACATTCTCCAGTTAAAGCCAGTAGCCTCTACTCGCCCACTCAGAAATTCACTGCAAGGCAAGCCCCACCCCCCCAAAGTACCCGGTACTTTCGGAAAGTACTATCCCCTAAGCAGGGACTTTTTGGGGGGTAAAATAAAGACCCTAGAACTACATTTAGACCATCGTCCCTCCGGTGGAAAAAAAGTGAGTTCCTCCAAAGGTTCCTAGTTCTGGGGTATAGTTCCTTTGGTAGAAATGTGGCTATACTCAGGGAAAATGTCACTTGCTTATCATACCTCCTCCCAAATTACATCCCCCAAAATGTCCCTTTGGAAAGCCATGGGTTCATTGATGTTTTTTCCGAAAGCCATTCTCTCACCTCATCCACAGAACGAGAGGCGTCTACAGTGCGCACCTTTCCTTGTTTCTCATACAGTTTAATGATTGGTTGTGTAGACTGCAGGTAGGTTTGGATTCTGCATCAAAGGGAAAGAAATGCCTCTTTATTGGGGTTAGATGACACAGGGGACTCAAATGAGACACAAATTAGGTCAAAATCACAGTTGCAGGTACCCAACGGTCAGCTAAATGGGTCAGACAAATCTATACTGACCAGATAAGCTTGTTGTGCTTTGTCACAGAGAGAAGCAAATCAGTATGGAAAATCAATTAATGGTCAAAGGCAGCAGGCTTGTTTAAAAACGCAAATCACATTCTAAAATCTTGGGTTCAATACTTTTATAGTCAAGTATTTTGTTTGTGCTGCAGGTCTGTACCTTTTCTCCAAGCTTTCTCTGTTGTCATCTGTGCGTCCACTGCTCTTCCCTCTTTCTAAACATCTGTCGATGCAAACCTGTGGACAAGAAAAGACAGAGAGCGTGTGCTCAGTGTAAAATGGCTCTGACGATGGAGGAGATTTAGCTTTCCAGTTTCCATGACGTACCTCATTGCCGCAGTCAAAGAAAAGCACAAATTTGACATCTGCTTTGCCATCCATGACAGAGTTCCACCCCTGAAGGTTGTCCTCATTACGGGGAAAACCGTCTATGAGGAAACGGAACTTTTTATCATCTTGATTCATTGTGTCTTCCATTGCCTTACAAAAACAGAAAGAGCAAAATAAAAATATATTACCTGATTTGAATTCACTGAAATAGAAGTTTATTCAAATGATAAATGAGAACCCGATTCCAGACAGACCAATTCAAATAGACAATGACAAACATTCAGCCCAGTGTGCTGTGTATAGGTCAACACAAAAACAAACTGTTCCACAATGCTGACCAACTTAAGGAAGAGCACTGTACAGTCTCACAGAGCAGCTGTGGTTTTGCTAGCTCAAAACACACTATAGACGTTCAGGGCACTTGAATCTGCATTCTATCTATCGGCCAGCAGGGGGCGAGTCTGCTTGTTGCAAAAAGAAGTCCGCTTCCATTAGAAATAATGGTAAAATAATATATTATGGAATAAAATGTTGCTACTTCTCACCTGAATTATTCCCTCAGTAAACACTTTCCTAATGAGTTCATGGTCTCAGTTGCTAGTTTAAAGTCTGCTACAACACAACATGATGTTCATTTAGTAAATCATGGTCCTATTTAGGGGGGAAAAGACCAGAAAGCAGCATATACTTTAGGGGACGGGACTACCTTGTGACTGAGCTACCATGGTGACCTGTCAATCAGGATAGAGGCGACTTATATTCGCTGCTCTGTATAAAGTTTTTTATTAAATGGCATTTTTGAGTCTGTTTTAACTGTGATTACATTTTTTTAAATATTCAGGATGTATTTAATAAATGATTAAACATGTTAACAGTATTTATAAAGTTGTTGTTTTTTTTACAAGGTTTTGTTGTAACACTGAAAGAACTTTTGGAAGGAGGGACAGTAAAAATTGTCTTGAGGCCAGTAAGTTTCAAACCCACTCGCCTGGTGGGGCCGGTTGCAAAAAAAATTAACATTGAGCCCTGGACGTTTAAACACTAACAATGATCCAGGCCAGACATTGGCTTGGTTTGCTAACACGAATACTATAATTTTGTCAGAAACAAAAATTAAAGCTGTAATTATTTGTACTATTTTTATTACATTATTTCATCTTTCATGTCACCAAATGATTTATTATGTCTGACCAACAGTCCAATAACATTTTAATCTAAATTATATTAAACAGGAAGAAACACTAAATACTCACATTCACAAGGCTAGGAGAAGCAAATGTTTTGTGTAATAAATGACTTCAAAATGTATTTCTTACTATTTAACATACAATAAATTAACTTGGCTGTTTCATCAATAAACAAGAGAAGTTCTGCCCACAAGAGGGCATGACTAGCCAAGAGATGAGAATCAAATTCAGTCTGTGATCAGATTTAAAGTTTCATTTTCACTTTTTGGAGGAAAGTATTTTTTAAGTGCTGTAACATTAACAAAAGTCGAGTTGCGCTGGTGTGCAAAAAGGTCCTGACTAATAGTGTCTGACTCCTGGCAGACTGAACTGGATTTTCCTCATGCTAGGTAAACACAAACCAGATTTACAGGCTTTATTTGGTACATACCTTCCTGAGTAAGTTGATGGTGATCTCCACAGGGACGATTTTGCCCTCCTTGATGTAGTTGGCAATGAGCTGTCCGAACTCTGACCCCTCTCTAGCTCGCTCTTCCCTCAGCAAGTCCCCAGCTGACAAGTGGGTGTAACTGTAGCTCTGAGAGACAAATGTTTTTTTAAGAAGGTAAGTTTTGATGAAAATTAAATCTCAAAGAAAAGCACTTCGAAACCAGTCATCAAGAGTCCACTTCTGGTGAGGAGAAAGTGGCAGTTGGTCATTTTAAATAGGTTTGTAGATTTATATTAACACTAGAACTCTGCATTTGAAAAAGACAGCATTTACAGAGAAGCTAAATTATTCTCACTCACAGGCCAGCAAGAAGTCAGTCCTTGTGCAATGAATGAAAGGAGCCTCTATGCATAGCTGCCATCCAGGCCTAACCGCCGTAACAGGGAAGCCAACACCCAGTAACATCCGTGAACAAGAGTAGTGATTAATTCTCTTTTATAGGAGCTCTCTCTCAGTCAAACACACACACACATCAAAGAACATTAATTGGCCCCCATTAGAGCCGCAGATTCATAAGCTTTCATGAGTTCAACTTTCAGACAAACATCAAAGCAGCTTCTTCAAGTAGAGCTCTGGCTTTTCAAACTTTTTGGGTGGCTTGTTAAAAATATCTTTTTGTTTAACCCATGCAGCTTCTTCAGAATGATGACTGATGCAGCGAAGATAAGAATTATGTGTTAGAGGAAACTTGACACGTGAGATCTTTACCACTGGACTGTTTCACTCTACTTAGCATCAACCATGCTATTTAAGCTCTACCCAGTTTATGGACTGATCTTGATTTATGTTGCATAATTACTATCATCATAGCAGATGAGTTACTGCAGACAATCACAGGATACTTATGTGATCGTAACTGCAGAAATGTCAAAATAGACTAGTGAAGATAAAAGTACTAAGAAACTGTAGAGACAACTTATTACATTTTCAGTCCAAGTTTAGATAAATTATATATTTTGTATCACTCATTACCCTCCTTCATGGTAAACGCTCCTCTCTCAATAAATGTCTGCTCTCCACCTGTTTGTTCATGTGAATGGTGGAGTGATCAAATGCACTTACTCTGAGCATTACAAAACCTCAAGTGTATAGATACGTCAATTATAAGGTTACAACATGGAGCAAATGTCAATAGGCAACCTGCTGCTGGCTCTGTGCCAAGCTAACATGGGCATACATTAATTTTGCCAATTCATTCAGGCGTTTGACTTGACATCATTTAAACAGTGACCTAAAATACATAACATTTTTCACTGTTGGGACTCAGATGTCAGAAAGTAATACCGGAGATTATGAAGAATTAAACAAGGCACTTAGTAGCTCCTGTAAATCAGCACAAAAGCTGTGTAACCTGTGTGGCTAACTAGCTAGCAGGCTAACACACAGGTCCAGTTTAGAGGACAACCGGAAGTCAATGTAATTTAGACATTCCCTCATAAAAACGCGCTGCTGAAAAGCACCACCTTCATAGAATTCACTAAATACTACTTTCATCATCATGTGCTATATCCTAACCATCAAAGTCGGTAGTTTTCATTGTCCTTTCTGTCCCCATCTCTCGTACCTCCACGATTTTGGAGCACTGGGTCCCTTTGCCGGCGCCAGGCCCGCCCAGCACGAACACAACCTGCGGATTCATCATCAGCGACACCCGGTACAGAAAGCTCGGCACCCTCTGAGACACGTTACTGAACAAACGGGCGATCATAAACCAGCAGAGACACACGTTAACCTGGGAGTGGAGTGGAGGGAAGGGGTGGGTGAAAAACTACAAGCCGAGCTGACCGGTGAATGCGTGTCAGTGTTTGTGGGAAGGAAATCGACGAGCCACAACGACACCACTTCCGCTGTTGACTTCAGCTACCAATGGGGGTTTCACATGGGAGTGACGCAGGTCTGAAGCCACGCCCACTTGCACTTGTTATTTTTTTTTTCTATGCCGAGGTCGGGTGACGCCCCTCCCCTGCTTCTCCAGCATCAGCACCCTCCACAAACGAACAAGGCGGATGGAAACGGATGCTCTCCGGTCCGCGATGCTCACCAGCTCAAGAAGACATAACGATGATAACCGAGAGACTCTCGAGCAGCTGGGTAGAGTCACTGTTTTCTTCACGTTTATGCCGCCTCACTGCCTCCATTCATGATGCACCATTCATTCATCCTCAAGAATGGTAGCACACTGCGAGGAAAACATTAAAATAGTCTGTCTTAGCCCTGTAGCCTTTATAAGACACATCCTCGCTCATTTGATGAAGCTTCTTTTCATGTAGGTCAAGGTGATGAAGAGCCCGGTTTTTGTCTTTTGAGGGCACCGCGCGAATGTAGGGCTAATACAGGAAAAGCCAAGCAAACAAAAGACATCCAGCCCCCCTCCTCTGACGCACCTCGCTGCCCTGTCGCCACTTGACATGACAGCGCAGAGCCGGGAGCAGAGCAGCAGGATCAAGGGGCACCGACGTGCAGCCGGACGTGTGGACTCGACAAGGGATAGAGGAGCCTCCGGACGCACGGCGGAGAAGCAGCAGCCCAGGGGAGGCCGGATTGCAGTTCCTGGGGACGAGCGCCAAGGGCAGTGCGGCAGTCAGCAGGCAGACCGGGGGGAGGAGGCTGCGGAGATCTGTGATACTTCCCCCCCAGGCCCCACTGCGCTCTCACCTCCACATCATCCTGGACATATGATAGTGGACGTTTTTATGTTTGATCAATGGTGACTCCTTTTTTCCCTTCCCAACCAATCAGTGATGATGGGCAATTGAGAGATTAGATCTGTTCTTCAGGCAAGGGTGGAAACGGGAGGGGACTGATGTGCATACTGGCCAGGTACACTTTGCTCCCTTCTTCCCTGGTTTTGTTCATTTTGCTTGTCGCCTGCACCATGGGCTGTATTCAGAGCATTGCATGCAAGCCCCGCATCAGACGGGAGAACATTGTGGTGTACGAGGTGTCAGCCTCTATTGACCAGTGTCCCACCATCATTGAGGAGAACTCACCGATTGTGCTCCGTTACAAGACGCCTTACTTCAGGGCCTCAGCAGGGGTTGTGATGCCACCAGTGCCCCGCAATGAAACCTGGGTGGTGGGCTGGATCCAGGCTTGTACCCAGATGGAGTTCTACAACACATATGGTGATATTGGCATGTAAGTGTGTAGCAGACCCCATCAGACATTAACCTTGTGCCTCTGAATGAGCTCAGTGTGTGTGGGTTCAGGAGGGTGTAGTGTTTGGATGTGCACACCTGTTTATACATCTCTCACAAACAAAAACAGCCTTGCATCCTCTCACTCTGTCCTCCTCCATGCACTTGCCGCAGGTCCAGCTGGGAGTTACCAGAGTTGCGAGAGGGTCGGGTCAAGGCCATCAGTGACTCAGACGGCGTCAGCTACCCCTGGTACGGCAACACCACAGAGACAGTCACCCTGACCGGGCCCACGTCCAAACCATCCCGTCTGACAGTCAGCATGAATGACAACTTCTACCCCAGCGTGACCTGGGCAGTGCCCATCAGCAACAGCAACACGCCCATGCTGACCCACATCACCAGGGACCAGAGCTTCATCACCTGGCTGGTGGCCATGAACTCTGTCACCAAGGTAGGACAAAAACACAGACAGCGGCCTGAGATGAAAACAGCTTGTTCGCACATGCATCAAACTAAGTCTAACATCTCTAGAAACTGCTCTTGCATTGCACACACAGCCCGTCTGTGATGTAATCATCTCCCCCCTGCACTTTTCCTTTCTGGTGTAAAGTTACAAACTACCTCATCATCACCTTCCCCTGAATAAAGCCCCTGCAAAGGCCCATCAGGAGACAGTTTAAAATGTGTATCAGAATGTTACAGTATTCATGCACTGTCTTTGTGAAAGACAATGCATAAAATTGTTTTAGGCTAGTATAGAGAATGTTCTCAGACTTGTTTTACTTCATTGTTGGTTGATAAATTAAGAGAAGGTGAAAAGCATAGCATTTAAATTCTGTATCCTAGCCAAAGTTCTAGTATGTCAGACAAGATAAAATTATGTTTAACAAAAGTGATACACCAATTTATTATGCTGCAAATTAACTACACATCTATTAGTAGCAGAGGACATAATGCACAATCAACTTAAGCTGCAGGAAAACACTCTTATTGTACTTAAAGTAGACTGCATCACACATTCACATGTATACAGTATTGACCACATTAAGATGATGCTGCTCTCCTCCTCCAGGAGCGTATCGTGTTGCAGACGGTGCGGTGGCGGATGCGGGTGGACATTGCTGTGGACCCAGACATGCCTCTGGGCTCGCGGGCCTCTTTGGTGGGTCGTCCCTACCAGGAGCAACCGCACATCCTCAACTACCAGGAGCCCATCCCTCCCAACGCGCTGGGGAGGCCGAATGCCAACGATGCCCAAGTGCTAATGTGGAGGCCACGGAGAGGGGCGCCACTAGTGGTCATACCGCCAAAATAAGAGGGTTAAAAGGTTGAACAGAACAAAGTATAATTTGTTCCCTTGTGCAGAAGAGGGGGTATGAAGGTGACGAAGTCATGAAGCCTATCAGAGAAGAGTGAAGAAGAGTGAACTGATGGTTTCCCTGTTCTCTACATACCAGTGGCTTATTACCCCTGAAAGATTTAAGTGGACCATTATAACAAGCGTGGATATGTTGGATCTGACACAGTATGGTGTCAGAACGGAACTTGTGTCAAGGGCCCCCGGCTTTCATCAAGGCTTATTTGGCCCCAACAAGTTTTGGACCGCATTAAAGAGTTCTGCCTGCTTTTTAGCAAAGAAGGAACGCTGTTTTTTTAGACGTACCACAGAGGTATTAGATCACAACGAGATCTGCATCCTGCATCCTTATGTAGATCTTATTGCATGAGAGAGTGAGAGAGATACAAAAACTGTCCTTGAGAAGTTTAAGAATAGCATTTGTTTTTTCTATAACTTGATACCTGAAGACATTTTGATTGAAAAGTCAGCCAAAAAAACCCTGCGGGCTGTTTAAACCTCGTCAGTGCCAACATAGGCCTTCTTCAGCACACTCAGTACCAGAGTTAAAGGATGTATTCAGAAGACTTAAAGAGACAAAGTAGGCTAATCTCTTTAGTTTAAGATAAATCATGCATCAATCAGATTGTATTAAGAACACCCACCTTGCATAAAAGTCTGGAAGAAAACCAAATCTGCAGTAGTTTTCGCTTGAGTTTTGCTAATACACCAACATATTTTCAACTTACACGCCTCCGTAGTGCAGCTGATATTGTATTCAGATGGGTGACAAACTATCAGAGAGATGAGCTGGACCTGTTAACAAAATAAATAAATAACATCAACTATACCTTCAATAAGTGCAGTGTAAATGACTTGGAATAGTGCCAAACAACACATTTAAAACAAGAGGGTGATAGCAGTCCAGGCTGCATATATCATAGCTGGAATGGAGCCGAATTGTACACAGACCTAAGGTAGACTTGATGTGGCACTAATCAGGCCATGTTGCACCAACATGTTACACATAAATCTTACAATCAGGGAATCCAAATGTACTCTTAACAGTTTCCTTGGAGTGGAATTAAATCAGACTGCATTTTGAAGAGGATTTATTTGAATTCCTGCCATTTTTCATTAACGCTGGTTGTAAGAGGTCATATCGCACTTTCTCCTTATATCATTAGCGTACATTATATTGCAGTAGGTTTCTGCAGATAATCACAGATGAAGGCCTTCCTGGGTCACGACTATGGCCTGTCCAGTGGCTCATCCTGGGCTCAGTCCAAGTCCCTGCCTGCCACTCCATAAACAAGTCACATGACTCATCCTCCATCTGTGCTTCTCTCCAGGTTCACGTCCTCATCTTCCCATCTGCCTGCTCGTTTTCTCCCCTGTCTGTCCACCTGATCACACACACTATCTCCTTCCAAATGCACACTTTTGCTCTGAAATCCACAACTATGCAAAGATAATCTGGGACTCTGTAAACAAAAAAAAAAACCACAACAACAAACAGGCAAAATAGGAAAGACGTGTTTTTTTTGTTCTTCTGCCTCAAATCAGTTTTTATTTGTCAGGGACACTGTTGAATAAAAATGGCTTTTACTACCATGTAAAATACTCAACGAGGTTAAAATAGGTTATGTTAATTCAGTGTTTCTACATTTGTCGTGGCACGGCAGCCCATTCAGCCATCTGTTGCTATAGAGACTGGTTTGGTTGTTCTGGGTGCACTGCAACTGGAATTGAAAAAAAAAATTCATGGGTGTGCCTATCTGTGTGTGTGTGTGTGTGTGTGAGAGAGAGAGAGAGAGAGACACACACACACACACACATACAGCTCCATTTTATCCATTAATTTCAATTTGACGTAAGAAAGAAGATCAAGGCAGAGCTGGTTGTTTCAGCATAAAAGACACCTTAATTCAGTCATTTGTTCTTACATAAAGACCTTTACTTTGCATTTAAATAACAGCAGAATGAGTGCTTTTTATATAAATACTGACTGTGAGCAGCAAGGTAAAACCAGTCATATTCCATCTTATCTCATCTCATATAAAAAAGGACATTCAGCATCTTTGAGCGACTGTGGCTCAGTAGGTGGATAAGGTTGCCTGTTAATCATAAGGTCAACGGTGCAATCCCTGGCTCCTGCATGTCGAAGTGTCCTTGGGCAAGATACTGAGTCCTGAATTTGCCCCTGGTGGCTGTTTTGCCAGTGTGAATGTTAGTTTCTGTTTGAGCACTTAGGCTCAGTGAATGAATGTGAGTGAATGGTGAATGTAGTGTAAAAGTGCTTTCAGTGGTCGCAAAGACTAGAAAGGTGCTATACCGAGCACTTACATTACCTTTGGACTCTCTGCAGAAAGTGTGCTCTCATTCCACCACTAAAAGGAATCTCTTTCAAGGATTTTACTCAGCACCCATTAATAACGTTTTTTTTTTTAATACACCAATTTCCCCATTTCCCATAACACATAAATACACAACTGAAATACTGAATTTTAATTTCCAAATATCTGTGAGGCCATGCTTTCATCACAATCTCCTCCTTTACATTGTGCTCACAATATGAGAACCCCCCCATCTTTTGTGCGAAGCAGCATTTTTCTGATGCACTCTCCACAATTTCCAGCTGTAGTTGTTTGGCAGTAACAGATTTTATCACTTCCACTTTCCATGCGTTCTTAATTTCCGGACACCAAACTCACTGTCACAGTTCATAGAGTCCCGCTCGGTTTATGATGGTTGCCGCTCATCACTCCTGTCAGGTAGCACAGTTCACAGAGGTCTATGTTCATACTTTGATGGCGCTGCTACTGGCAGGCTTAACCTCGTAACTGTAAAGAAATGTGGCAGCAATAACCAGCACTGCTCCTAGGAAAAATACTCTGAGAGAAAAGTGGGAACAGGAAATAAAAGAGAGAAAATTAATTAATTAATTCAATAAACAAATAATTGTGTACTCAGTTCATGTCATGCAACAAGATTAAGACATGCTAGCGGCTCTGATGCTGTACTTAGACACAGTGGTGCTTTGAGCGAAATGATAACGTCAGCATGCTCATATGTTCACAATGACAATGCTTACATTATGTAAATTTCATGATGTATAGCTGGTATAATGCTTATCATGTTCACCTTCTTAGTTTCACATTTTAGCATGCTAACATTTGCTAATTAGGACTAAACACAACAAGCAAAGTACTGGCCAGCTGAAATTTTGACTTGTTAATGATGCTAGAGGAAGTCAGAGGATCACCACAGTTTTTACAATTCATTCCGAGGGGAACCTCAACGTCTGCACAAAATATCATGACAATCCATTCAATTGTTAAGTTTGATTCAAAACCACAAATGGTGTCGCTAAAGGAAAAGTCAGGGGATCATCAAAATCAATAGGATTCATCACATGGGAACCATGAACGTGTATACAACATTTCATGGCAATCAGTTCAATAGTTTTAAGATATTTGGACAAAAGTAGTGGACTAACTGACAGGCTGATGCACCCCTGGCATGGCAAGAAACAAATAATTATTAGTAGCCTAATGAGTTATTATGTGCATGAGCATTTAAGTGTTTACCCAGTAGGGTTAAAGTCCTCCAACAAGAAATATGAGATGAGTGTAGAAACGATGATGGACAGAGAGGTGGCAAATCCTTTGAGGATGTTGTCTGCATATTTAATGACCACTGCTATGACCAAGCCACCCACAGCCTGCAGACAGAGAATACTGTGAACACTTGGAAGCCTGGTGGATTTTGACACACACACACACACACACACACACACACACACACACACACAACAAGAAGACAAACCTGTAAAAGAACAAGTATATGACTCACCAATATGAGAATGAAGAGAAACTTAATGATCAAACCTGTAAAACAACAACAGTGCAGGTGATAGTGTTGTAGCCCTGGAACATTCCCGACTGTCTCACACTCTGGCCGTCATACACTATCATTCCTATGAAGCCAAACACAAAGCCGAACAAACCTGGAAGAGACAATGAGAGGCAGAGAGGTTAAGTTTTCTGTACTACAGTGATGTTTGTGTCTGATTTTGTTAAAAGAAGCACAGGGAACTATCTTAAGAAGTTGTTTCCCTGCACCCAACTGCCACTAGAGGTCACTGTATTTGAGAATGCTGTTCAAGCTAACTTTTTTTTGTCCCATATCTTCATTTTGTGAATCCCGTCCTCTTTTAAAATATATGGGAGAGGTTGTTGCAAACCAGATAGCTTATGGTTTTAGGAAATAAGAATAAAATAACTTTTTTAATGTAACTCATTCTTGTTTCTCTTCTCAAAAGGGAAAACCAGATTCCTGCTCTTACCCACCCTCCCACCCCCTATATTTCACAATCATATTTCACAATCATATTTAAGTGAACAATTCTTCACCACTAATTTTTAATATGTCTCCTTTTGTCTGCAGCAACACCTACATATCGTTAAAGATATCATGGTGGCAGAGGAGTGAGTCAACTTTAGGTGTGTCAAAGAAACAACGTCTGATAGATTGAAATTCAAAGGTATTATATTTCCTTTATGTCACTAGATTACAGTGACTTGTGGAGAAGAGATTTGTTTTACCTGTTAAGATTCAGATTTAAGGTTCAGCAAGTTTGAGCAATCAGCTATGTGCAGAGTTTTTGTTGTTCATTTTTGTATGCAGACAGTATTATAACCAATTTGTATTGAATTTGTCCTCTATCAATTAAGTATTAAGGCTGAGATATCCTGATTTTTAGTCCCATGTATAGTTTAAGCTCCAAAAACACTGGATCGTAACCCTGATGACATTATCAGGGTCATTTTCTCAGACTTTGGAAATCTCCCTCTACAGCCACAGAACACGTCTAACACACACAGTAATATTCACTCAACACATATGAACTCATCCCTCTAAACAAACCAAGATTACAGAGATACTCACCTAGCTGTATGTTACGCACCCACACACTCTGTTTAGTCTCCTTGAGGATTTTCTCAAAGTAAACTCCAGCGAAGCCACTGGACACACAGGCCATCAGGACAGCCATCAATCCCACAAACTGAGAGCTTGCAGACAAGATCTTCTGCTCAGAGTCGCCTTCAGACTCTGTGGGCCACTGTGGGGGTGAAATACATGCAAAGATAGGCAGAGTTTCTTTATTAGAGTAATATAACTGACTTATGACTAGCGATCTGATGAGGGAATAAAGTCATATTTCTCCCACAGAAACAATCTGCAATTCTGCAGGTAAACCCACATATATTGTAAATTGCTCAGGGACTTTGCAGTTCCAGTGTCTGCTGGTACCTGCACTAGAGTGACCCCAGCCATGAGGAAGAGCAGCGAGAACCACTGGTAAAAGCCCAACCTCTTCCCCAGCATGGAGACAGAAAACAGAGCTGTGGTGAGAATCTTCAACTGGTACGTGACCTATGTGAAATGAAGAACATTTTACAACATATTACTCTCTGCAAGAAGGTAAAATAAGCGTAGGCTATTACCCAAAATGTCGAACAATTCCTTTCATAAAATTTTTTAAATTAGCTAAAGTCACAAGTTGGTAACTCTGAGCTATACGGCATCAAACGTCAATATGGCACTGTACCACATCAACGGATCATCGTTCAAATAAATGTTTCTGGTAAACACAATCCCATTTGACGGCACCATTTTTTTTGGACACTGTGTAAACTTCTCCCCAATGAAATCCTTTGTAATAAACATTTTTCACGGTTATCACAGCCACTTTTCTTTGAGATGAACAAACTCAAAACTTTAAAAAGCCACATTTCTGGCATTCAAGAGGTGAGTATTTGATATTCACAAGATACAATGGAGTTTGTATGTATCACATAAATTAATTGAAGTTAGAAATTGAAAGAAAGTGAAGTATTATCCATCCATCCATCCACCCATCGTCAACCACTTATCCTACAAGTATTATGAGATTAGTAAATTTAGGAATCTTAGGACAATTTCTCTGGAAGGATTTGTAAATACATTTGCCCCTGACATCCATTATACCCTGTAAATTCATGAATACTCACTAAGACAACACACAGACACACAGACACACAGACACACACACACACACACACACACACACACACACACACACAAACACACACATGCAGTGAACTTGAACTAGCACATTCATGTGTTACCTGATAGGTGGCTGCATCCAGGTTGGATAAGGCAACATAGAGCAGATTGTTCTGCAGTGTGTAGATCCCTGCAGGAATGGCCAACTTCATGGTCTCCACGGGTTTGTTCACAATCTCCTCCTTCAGCAGCTGGTTCATTGCCCGCACACTGAAATCTGGAAGAGAGTGTGTTGTCAGTAATTTAACCAAGGGACCACCCATGGAGTGAAGTGGCAAAGAGAAGAGACACAGAAAGGCAGCCATCCTGGTATTAAGAAGATTGGGGAGCTTTTAATTGAGTTCTAGACCTACAAATAAACCAAAAAGAGAATGAAAAAACAGATAAAAAGACCTCAACTATGACTCTAACCCTACCAGCCACTGCTACTCACTGTTCTCCATAAAGATGAGGAAAGTGCAGGCGAGGATCTTGAGCACCTCGGCCGACACCACGGCGGACGAGGCCAAGTAGCGGAGGCCGTCTTCCCTCAGGGTGCGAGAGTAACGCATGGTGAGCACCAGCGAGGTGGTCTGCAACACCAGCACTCCCAGAGACACATACTTCAGTTTCAAGGAGTGGGACGAGGACCCGAGCATTGTGGAGGCCTCTACGTCCGGGTCCAGAGACAACGAAGGTGTCTACAGGATGGACAGACACAAAAAGAGAGAAAATGAATGTGTGAATTCAAATCGGGTTCAGAGAAAGAAGCTCCTACCAATGATAAAACTAACGAGGGAGCATGAAAATCAAATGCACCGGAGAAGAGTGGAATAGAGAGAGGGTGAACTTCACAGACATTAGAAAGTGTGAGACAGGTGAGAGCGGGTGTAGGACCATCTGGAGTGTTCAGTAATTAGAAATAACTAATTAGTAATTGGTCAGTGT